GGGGGGAGGGGGGAAGGTGAGTGAGTGACTGGAAAGAGGCTCAGAAGGTGAGAAAATTCAAGCAACAAAGAATAAGAAAAGTAGGCTACTGTGCCAGTCTGGGGCAGGGCAGTCATCAGAGACGATAAGGAGGCATCATAAGGAGATAACCTTTAAGGAAGAGAAGAAGGCGGGAAATGTTTTTAGTATTTCTCGTTCTTGCTTGCTTCATTGATCTTGTTCTTGCTTCATTACTGAGTGGACCTGGTTGGGGGTTGGGTGGTGTCACACATAAACACGTATCCACCTGGGAGCTCAGAATGTGATCTGATTTGGAAATAGGGTCTTTGCAGACGTAATTTGTTAAGGTTCTCAAGATGAGATGATTGGACTTCATGTGATCGCGGTACACTTTCTTTATAAGGAAAGGGCATACAGGGAAAGAGGGGAGAAGGCTTTGTGAAGATAGCACAGAAATTGGGGGGGGGGGATGCAGCCACAAGCTAAGGACTGTTGGACCACCAGAAGCTGAAAGAAAGCAGGCAGGATTTCTCCCTAGACCTTAAGAGAGACTGACCTGCTAACAAGTAGATTTTGGATTTCTGCCCTCCCCCCGCAAATAGATTCCTCCTGTTTTAAGCCACCCAGTCTGTGGGCCTCCACTCTGGCAGCCTCAGAACCAAGGCAACTCCTCCAAGGTACCGTGAGAGGGCAGTGACTGTCACATTCTGGCTGATGACACAAAGGCGAAGGAGACCACCAGTGGCCTGTCCTCACTCCGAGGGGCAGAGCTGGCATCCAGCTCCAGTTTTCCAGCATCCTTTCCTCTCAGCCACAAATATCTTTCTTCTTACTTATAAAGTACCCTCAGAAAGATTATCCATTCTGAGCCTTCCAACTTTTTAAAGTTAAAAATGGTATTTACATATTATCCATATTTTGCTGCACACTGTGGGTCATGTATCCATTTCTTATAAACTTAACACTCTCTAATTTTCATTGTTTCTGCTTCTTCAGTTTCACCCTGTTTTTCTCTGTCATGGGTTTGCCCTTGTGACTCCCCTCCCCTAGCTCATTTGCAAATTCCAGCGCTCCAGCATTTCTCCTTTCTGCTGTCCAAAGAGCCCGCCTGGCCTCAGCTCCCAGTCCTTTGTGCTGTTCTCCTCTCCTGCCTTTTAACGCGTCATCACACAGGGTTGTTGTTGTTGTCGTTATCATTATCTTCCCCTATCATAACTATGGCTTGCCCCTTCTCCTATTCCTCTTCACTATCCCTTGCCTCCACCCCAAATCCTCGGGTATGGCCAGCTGACCCCAGAAGTTCTGAAGCTCAGCAGCCAGGGGCCAAGGCGCCTGTGGGACCTGTCCTTGCACACCATGGCCTCCCCATACAGTCGCTCACAATGGACGGTGCGCACCCTCTCTCTGCTTTGCCTGCAGCCTACCCAGGGCGAGCTGTCCTTGCAAGTGTCAGCATTAGGCCCAAGTGGCTCTGCATTGCCTTTATACACGACCGACCCATTTTTCTGCCTGGATCTTCCACTCTGCATCCTTTCCACTGTCCTTTCTTCAGATTGTCACTTCTGTGTTTTCAGTTTTTTGGTCTGTGTGTATGTATATGGTTTACACTGTCTGTGTATCTTCCCTTCCGGTGCTATTACCATATCGCTTCCCGCATTGAAACCCCACAGTTTACCACTGCGGTTCACTGTGTTCCCACCCTGCTCTGTGTTGCCATCTCTCATTCTTTCCACCTCTGTCCCCTCCCATCTCTCAGTTCTGTATCAGCTTTCAGGGGCTACTTTTTGAGTTTGATTTCTCTATATTCCACATATTAGTGACACCATCCTTTACTTATCTTTCTCCTTCTGACTTATTTTATTTATCCTAATCTCTTTAGGTCATGCCCCAAATGGCATGGGTTAATCTTTTTAACTGCTGAGTAGTATTTCATTATAAATACATATATACCACATCTTGATCAATTCATCTGCTTGGGGGCCCTTGGTTATTTCATAGTTTGGCTATTGTAAATAATGTGCAGATCTTATTTATCCCCTTCCAAACCTCCCACATTTAGTCTTTACTTGTTTCACTTATTTCTCCATTGCTTGGTTCATTTGAAAAATAGACATCAAAGGCCTACCTGTGACTATCTGCCTTAGGCATTGTTGTATTTCTCTCTCTCCTCCAAGTAATGCTACTGGCCTCCATCTCTCAGGTCCTCCCAAGTTAACTGCCCCCACCCCTCTTGCCTGCAGGCACTGCTCCACCCACCTTCCTCTGAGATGCCTTTGGGGAACACAGGCTGGGGCTTCCAAATACCCACCCACCCTACTCTGTCATTTCCGAGTGGGATCTGGATTTCTCTCTCTGAATATCCATCTTACACTTTCCATTTCTTCCCCTCAAATCGGTTTGAACAGATTCTGCAAACCTCTGCCAAAACCCTTGGCTTTCAAGAAATTCTTTTTAACTACTTCCCTTCATCTGGATATCAAATACTATATTTTACTTTATTTTTCACAATCCCTTTTTTTCCTTATGCTTCAGTTCCATCCATTCCATTGATTTCTTTCATTTTTACTTTCAGTATACGTTCCAGGCAATTAACAAGGGGCTCTAACGCATATCTTTAGTTTTCTATCTTTTTTCTTTTTTAAGATTTATTTATTTGTGCATACAGAACTTGGGTACAGGCCAGAGGCTCAGGGGCGGTGAAAGGCTTCACCAGAGACAGAGTGGGGAGCAGAACAGGCAGATCGATGAAGTACACTGCTGAGGGGAGCAGCGGGCGGGTCAGGAGAGGTCTGCCATGCCATGTGGTCACCTCCGGAGCAGGAGGGGCTCGAACTCATGCGGAAACTCATGGCTTTAGCTTCTCAGTGCTGTGCTTTAACCCGCTGCACCACCAGGGAGAGCCCTCATTTTCTATTTTACTCACTGTTTTGTAAAGCCTCCTTTAAACTTCTCTCCTGCCCTGCCATGTTGCCCCCAGATGCAGCTAGCACTCCTGCCCAGCACTGCCATCTCATTTCTGCCACATTGCATGTTCTCCGCTTTTCCCATTTCCATGTGCCCGGAGAGGAGGTGAGCCTGTGCCTGCAGGTGTGCTCAGGCAGAGCCCAGTCCTTCCCTGCTCTTTTGCCAGTCGCAGCTCCCAGCTTCAGTCTTTGGAGCAGGCCCACACCCAGCAGACTCTCTTCCCCTCCAGGAGGTCGAAAGTGTCCCACCCCAGTCTCTTTGATCTGAGCGGCCCCTCTTATAGGGCAGGCCAGCTTTTCCAGTTACATTCTCCCCATCCCCCGCACATGTCTCAGGCTGCCTGTACTGTATGTTTCTGTGCAGATACCACTTGTCCCAACTTCGATGATTTTGGTCTCAAGGCTCCCTTAGAATCCCCTCTCCCTTTTTTACTTAAGTCTAATTTCCCTCTTATTGCCATCTCCATGCTCCTCTATCTTGAGGGCTTTGCTTTCACTGTCAAATGGATAGTCCACTTGCTCCAGAAAGACTTGATGGCCGCTCATGGGGCGATGGAAAACTCAGCAAAGCAACCTACACTAGCGGAAGGGGAGGAGGCAAG